CCGTATCAGTGTTGATTAATCATTGCTCGGTGTGATTAATCATTTGTCAGCTCCTGTGGCACTAAGGGGTCTTGGACTGGGATGCAGAGGCCACTGTGTAAGCAGTTTGAAATAGCCTTGCCTGTGCTACCGCTAATCTGGGTTTATGCGGTAAGGCTGGAGAGCCCCCCTCTCCAGCACCCCGTGCCGTGGCAGTCCCCTGTGGCTGCTTGGCCACACGTGTGGCCGCACCACATTTGCTGAGGCGCTTTGGGATAGCGGAGCAGGTCGTGCCAGTGGCACGTTCACACAAATACCCACACTGCAGCCTTGCACAAATTTCCCTTGTCTTCCCTTCAGCGTGAAAGGAAGATCTGACACTACTGAAACCTTGAGTATCTGTTACGACTTTCCTGCATGTTTTAAATTTTTTTAGCTAGAAATTCTCTCACTTGTAAATTTTTTTTTATTTATTTTCTACTTTTTTGAATTTTTTAATTCCAATAGGCTGTCATCTGTATCTGAATGATTTTTTTTCTCTTTAGATGCACCCAAAACCAATTGGTTATATTTCCAAGCAAAATATCTCAGAGTTCAAACATCCCAAATCCCTCTGTCTTCACCCAGCTCTCTTGTGAAATTTAATATGTAATTTCAGTCTGAGGTAGATAACTGCAAAGGTTTAAATGACATTTGTATGTTGGTCACGTTACGTATATAGTCTACTACAAAAAAAAAATTGCACTGTTTTTTTGCAACAATTCTTTTGCAAGAAATCTGGGGAAAAAAAGAGCTTGATTTAGGGAAGGACACTGGTGGGCCTGAACCACCAGCTCTTGTGAAATGGTTGTTTTGGGTACAAAGAGAGCACGTCAATCTGAACCTTTAAGAAAATAACTAATGTAAACTGGGTTGTTGAGATAGTTTGCTTGGTAAATCAGGTGTATGCAGTCCTCTGGCTTGCCTAGACAGCTCCTGCTGCTGTGCAACTGCTTGGGGATTTTATTCAGTCTGATCTGGTGTGAAGTCAATACTAGAGACTGATCACGCTAGAAAAGGAGCCCAAGCCGGGATTCGGCATGACATGTTGGCTTGCTTGGGCTGGAGGATTTGCAGGAGGTGCGCAAAGTGTTAGCTGGTTCTGTCTGTCCACGTTAATCCCAGTGGGGTTTAGAAGAAGGGAGGGAAGTGGCTTCATGCAGCCATTCATTTTTTTTACATATATATATATATTTGATCCTGTTCAAGACTTCGGTCATCGAGGTGGTTGTCTTAAAGCAATATTGTGGGTATGCACTTAAGAGAAAGTAGTGGCACAATACTGCTGCTGTTCCCTCTGGGGAAGGAGGGGCAGAGAAGGGAGAGATAAATCATAGTTCCTACATACTAGTCAGTGCAGAGTTACTGCAGCAAGGAGATGAAAGAGCAAATGCAGGCAGATTAGCAGCCAAAGTATTAAAACAAGCTAATATTAAGTACTCTGTGCCTTTCATTTGACTGGGATATTCTGTTGTTCACCTTGCACTCTGCAGAATTGTAGAGGAGGAGAAAATAACAGCTAGTTCTGGCAATGGCTTGCAAAAAAAATTTAGAATATTTGTCTTTGATTTCCCTTAGTTTCTCTGTTGGAGCAAAAAGGTACTGTTGTGTATAGATACTGATTTTGATAAGAGGATGCTGGGTGGAAAAGATGGATTGCTCTCCTGATAGCTCAGTTTCTTCAGCAACGAAAGATCAGGCATGTTAACAGCACAACTTTATTGTGACTGCAGCGTGGTGCTTCAGCTGTCCTTCATATGATCTCAGGCATCTTCGGCTGCTGTATTTTTAGAGTTGTGCAAAGAAGGTTAGCAAAGGACTTAATATCAATGTGCGACAGGGGTTCTTTCTCAAATATGGAAATGTTCCACCTATTTAGGTGATGGGTTTGGGCACTTATCTTAGTTATATCACCAGGGCTGTGCATAGACATGTGCCTCTCTGCCCTGTCCTTTCTTCATTCTCCAGATGTTGTTTAGCTGTCTGAAACAGTGACTGCACTCTGTTAGTAGTTGTCCTTGTCTTGGTTTTGCTAGATTTCATGACAGTTTATTAGGAAGTCTGTCTCCAGCTGGGTCAAGTGCATAGTTAAGAGGAGGAGAAAAAACCAGCTGTGTGTTGAGATCCAGTGGCTTGATCTTCAAATCAGAGCCAGAGGTACCTGGATTCTGTGGTGGTGTGGGGGGCTTCAGATTGGCCATTATAGTCTTTCAGTGGCGAGGAGGCATGTACAGCTCAGTACTCCTGGTGAAGCTGTTGAAGTGAGGCCTTTGGAGGGTATCTGTGCTTTGATCCTTCGCTGTACTAGTAGAACAGCTCTTGTTTCTCTGCAAACTCCCTCAAAGGTTCATGGCGCAGCTGCTTTGCACCTCTTAAATTTGTGGGAAATCATGAGTATTCGGGGCAAGAAATCCTTGGCCAGCCCTAATCCTGACCCAGAGAAACAGATGGTGCTGGCTCAGCCTTTGCTTCCTACGGTTAGTCCTTGCTCATTGAACGTGGAGCCTGGGGATGTACGGTGTTACCTGCTTGCCTGGAGCTGTGAGCCGAGGCGGTGGAGAGCATGCCTGAGATCAGGCAGCAAGGGATACGGTGCTGCGTAGCTGAGAGCAAGGAGGGTCTGGCACTCCTTGCAGGAACAGAGGTGCGGGATTTTAGGGGTATTTAGGTGGACTTGTGATTTGCTGTCAAGCCTATGGACAATCCTACTACTGTTCTCATGTAATCTTCTGACACTCAAGGTGTTGTCTAGCCTCTGCACTAGTTGCTGCTTTCTGAAGTCATGGGATTAACTGGGGTGGCCTTCGTTTAGGGTAGGGTTTTCAGTTACACTTTTTGCAAGTGTGATAAGGGCATGCGTAAGGAGTGGCATGGGACAAACAGCTGAAAAATAGGTGCTAAATGTTCAGGTATTCCAGTGGCCTACAAAGGTGTTCACAGCTTTCACTGCCTAAATGCTGAGCCTAGTAACTAGTAACTCTACAAAGGTGTTCACAGCTTTCACTGCCTGAATGCTGAGCCTAGTAACTAAGTGGGTGGTCTGGGTGGCCTGGAGAGACTCTTGCTTGTGCATGCTAGAATAGAAAAGATTAGCAAGGGAGAAGAGGGTAAAGGCTTTGACCTCAAGATAGCACTAGATGGTGGTTTGGAGTCTGGAGGATTGGGAGAGGGCAGGTGGAGGCACAAGTAGGAAGTATTAACTCTGCCTGAGGAGATTAATGTGCTGGCAACTGCAGATACCAGAGAGTGGGTAATAAGGGATGCACCCCTTATGTTCTGTGACCCTTGAGGAAAGCGCGGTATACCAGGAGTGGATAGCTGGAAGCATCCTGCGGCAGTGCCTGACAGCCATCTGTGAATTTCCATCATAACAAATTAAGTGTCTTAAAGCAATGAGTCTGCTTTTGTGGTATGGAGCCAGGTGGATGGGTGTTGGAAACAGTCACTTGCCATGGGAAGCTTTATATTTATCTAAAATGTTTTAGTTGTGATCAGGAGAGAAAAGCACAGGTAGAGGCCTCACAGATACGGGGAAAGTTCTCCAAGAAACGTGGCAAAGCAAGCAGAACATGACTCAGTGACTTGGAGAGGATGATTTAAAGACCTGTGCACTTCATTCATGGCCAGAACTCCAGCTGTAGTCTGCTTGCGCTTTCCTCCTGATGCTAGAGCAATACGATAATCTGAAATAACTTCTGTTCCGTTTGGAGGCCTAGGAGCAGGAGATATGGAATGTGTCCTTAAGTGCCTGAGCTATTTTAGGAGCAGGTATGATTCACAGCACCAGCCTACATGAATACGTACAGGGGCAACCAGCCTTTGAACTGCTGTGGTAATGGAGAATGCAGCCACCCCTGAGCATGCCCATGGTGCTGTGCATGTGCTGACAACTGAGCTGATCTCAATCGTTATCACATTAATATTTTCTTCTGTGGTAGATAAAAATATAAATACTCGTGAGAGAACTATGTGCTGTGTAAAATGATTGTGTCTTATGGAAGACGGGAAGATGGCAGCAATTCATAGAGGTTAGGCTCGTCTGTGGGATGATAGCAAAAAAAATCTTATGACCAAAACGGTGTAGCTCTCTGAGAGCACAGTGGGAAGAGCACAGGTTCTCCTCCTGTCACAGCTGTAGTTGAATCCTGAGCTTCTTGTGCAGCTTGTGCTAGTGTTGCTTCAGTTACATATTTACAATAGCATCCCAACGTGCAAGCCATTTTTCAGAAAATATTCCATCCTGCAAAGATCTTGCAATACAATGAGATATGGAGAAGCTAGGGAAAGAGGGGCAACAGTAGGCAGCATTTATGCAAGTTAACTTTGTTTGCTGCAAGTGCCATGGAAAGCTGGATTTTTGCTAGAGCTGGTAAAGAAGCTTTGGATAAAAGGCTTTTCAGAGGGATGTGGGTTAATTAAAAGAGGGAAGATTTCGGAACCAGGAGAGAATTGTTTTAGAAATGGATAAATCAAGGCAAAGTGAGTAGCTAGTTATTTGTGGTCTTACCCTTGATAGTCTAGGACAACCGGAACTGTTTGACACGTCACATTTTTAAGGCACAGGAGTATTCAATATTTTTAACTAGCTGCTTCATACAGGCAATATGTCTGACGAATTTTATTATCTCTGGGTCAAGTCTTTAGCTAGCAGAAATCAGCAGAGCTGTGCTTGCTTTTGCTAGCTAAAGATTAGGTTCCTGATGTTCAAGTTATTATGAGTCCCTTCCCAGTGCTCTTTAACAACAGGCTTTTATTTCTACTTCATGTGTTAAGACCTGCTTAGCTTGATGACTGACATGAGCGGATGCCAGCTCTGTTTATAATTATTTTGCTTTAACTTCAACCCCTGCGTTGGCTCCCCTTTTCTCAGAGGTGAAGGGCATCTGTTTTGTTGGACTCTTGCTGGAAGGAAAATAATTAATTCAGAAAGAGTTAAAGTTGATCTAGTCAGAAACTGAAATTTGTTTTGTTTTCACTTCCAGGCATATGAAAAGCGCTTTCCTACATGTCCAGAGATCCCAGTCTTCCTGGGGAGTGAAATCCTGCATGAATCCCGGAGTGATGATGGAGCTGTACATATCATTGAACGGAGCTGCAAACTGAACGTGGATGCTCCCAGGCTGCTAAAGAAGGCAAGTGGAACCCAGGGCGCAGATGGTCCTGGATTTTGTTGGCTGGCTTAGATAGATAAAGGCTCCTAAAGTTACTCTTTCTCTCTCTCTTTTTCTGCCCCTCCTTTTGGTTCGTCATCCTACTCAGATTGCAGGGGTAGAGTATGTTTTCTTCATCCAGAAAAACACGGTGAACTGGAAAGAGCGAACTCTCCGCATTGAAGCCCGCAATGAGACTTTTGCCAACCGTGTTGTTGTCCTTGAGACGTGTAGCTACTCAGTAAGTGCCTTGTTTCTACTTGTCTGTGAAGGAAGTGTTGAAAGCCATGTGCTAACATACAGGGTGAAGTTGCTTGAACGAATTTGGACACTGGACTGTCGCGTAATATGATGAGGTACTCTTAGACTGGAAGGCCGTTGGGTCTTCGGGTGCGGGCTTTTTCCAGTGCTTTCGTAGGGCTTGAAAAACTTTTTTCGGTTGACTGTGATTCTCTGATTGGAGTGTTAGGCCCTAGGGAGAGAGTAGAAAACACAGTTGGTGCTCCAGAACTGGCAATATTCCCTGAGTTTCTTTTGGGTGGAAGTTCAAGTTAATAAAAACATCTGGAGCTTCGGCATATATTTAGATCTGGATATTTAGAAGGAAATCCTTAATGTCTATGATGATGAGGGCAGAGGAAAGTCTGGCAATTAATTTTGCCCACAAATAAGTGAAAGTTTTAGCATCTTGTCATGATCTTCATGCTCTAATATTTGGAGAAAGGTCTTGAGCCTTATTTGTGGCCTGGGATGTCTCATTTTGTGGCTGTGTCTTCAGCAACAGTGTGCCATTTCATTGTAATTGTGCCATTAGGGCTCAGTCACCATTAAATAGCTTCATCTGTTTCTGGAAGCAATCAGATACTGCTTTTTGTTCCCTAAACAAAAGTCGAGATCCTGTTACTTACCTGCCCTTTTGGCAGCTGGCCACAGCTCAGCTTCTTGGGAGTAAGCAAACTGTAAGTAGCTTCAGTTTCCAAGCAAGACAAAGAGTTGAAAATCTATTAACATTTTGGATCGTGAGGGTGTCTCCTGAGCCAGAGATCACTTGGTGGCTACGTGGGGCTTCTTAAAAACTGCAATAAACCAAACTTCCATCATTGTGAAAGGCACTGACAGATCTGAAACGCTCTCAGGTCAACTCTGCAATTGCTCAGACATTGTTACACTTGCTGATTTTGGCTGTGTTGCCTCCAGCTCGTGTCTTTCGGAAGGAAACGTCAGCAGCTGGGCTTTGAGGGGAACGCTTTTCCTGGAACAGAGCAGGAGCTAGTCTGCATCCTCAAGATGGTTCCCTGCTCTATTTTTACCAGTTCCCTTTTCCCTGCCAGAGTGCACCGGAAACAGGTTTATTCTCATCTTTCCTTTTCTGCAGTGTTCTCTGAAGCAACTTGGAGAAATATGATCCTGATCTTGCAGTTACTTAATATCTCCCCTGGGGGAATTTGTGTCCTTTATAGAGCTCGTATCTTTGTGTGTGGGCTGGAATTTTTTTCTTTCATGTCAGTTTGTGAACAGCAGCACCTACAGAGAAAAGGCGGAGCCCTCTCAGAAAAGGGTTAAGTTTAAAAGAGGAAAAGATGGTGTAGGTTTTTACCGTATAGAGAGTAACTATGAGGGGAAATGGCTAGAAAGGAAAGGTGGATATTGAACTGACAGCGGGAAAACTCCCTGCTCTGCCACGTCTCCTGTGTTTTGGGGGGAAGACTGACATTAGTGGCTGAGTTTCCTATCCAAAACTAGAAAAAAACCTGTTTTGCATTTTTCTTGCTTTGCAGATGTAGGGGTTTTTAATTGAGTGTTCTGAGAGGCCATCCCTGTCTTTCCGTAAGGAGATCTTGACATGATGGTTTCAAGTGGGCAGTCTCACCACTATTTTAGTGCAACTTCTGCTACGAGTATTACTGTTCAGGTCTGCTGGGGCAGAGACGGGTTTTAATCTTGATTTCCTTGTGCATGTGAAGAATGCTGGGTTAACCACAAACGTACATATGTCCAGTTCATGATGTGCTTCTATTACTCTGGGAGAATTAAACTGACTGTTAAATGTGGGTCTGTCGGTGCCTCATAGGAAGCCTCTTCTGCCCCCTTACTCTGTAGCTCTGGAGATTAAATAGCCAGTTTGGCACCAGGGGCAGGGGCCCTGCCATAATGTGAACTATCTGCTACCATCCAACCGTACGTGTATCTTTGGGCTTAGGTTCACCCTGAAAATGAAGAGTGGACTTGCTTTGAACAGTCTGCATCTCTCGACATCAAGTCATTTTTTGGCTTTGAAAGCACAGTGGAAAAAATTGCTATGAAGCAGTACACCTCAAACATCAAGCGGGTAAGATGGGCTTCCCTTTGGGCCGTAAAAATAAGAAAATCAAATGCCTGCTCTCAGTGTGCCTCTATTTTCTTTTCTGTAAAATAGACCCACTATAGTTTTATACACTCGCATATGTCTCTGAAATCCCTCAGTAGGGCAAAAGAAGAAAAAGCCAGTGTGCAATGAGCAAAAACAATCTGCTCACTGGAATGTGTGTGTGCAGGGGAGGGAGCAGGCTGTACCAGAGGAGGATCGCAGTGGATGCTGTGGGTGCCAGGCTCCTCAGACACTGAGGACACTGTTCTCATGCAGGAAGAGAAAGTTCTGGGTAAAAATCAGCACCCTGTCTCTCCAGTAGCTTGGGCAGAGGCACTTCCTTTTGGTGGCCTTTTCCCCTGGGCTGCAGAGGAACAGGGCAGCTAACTGATGGTTTGGGAGCAGGAGAATGGGATAAAAGCGTTATAAAGGTAGCTGCATCCATAGCATTGGAATTTGCCTGGCCAGTGTTATGAAAGCACCATACAAATGGTGAATTATACTGAAATTTTTCCAACGGGGTCATGCAGATGGAAGGAGACAACTATTTCCCTTCTGTTTATCTCTAACACCATTAGTCATCTGTCCTGAGGAAAACTCTCTTCTGCACCTTTCTGGTTTTGGGGAGATGGGACTGTTTTTTCCTGATGAGAGTTTTCCCCTTCAGGGCAAGGAAGTGATTGAACACTACCTGAAGGAGTTGATCTCCCAAGGGATCACATTCATCCCCCGCTGGACACCTCCCCCAGTGTGTGGACAGAAGGATGAGCGAAGCCCAGCTGTTGGACACGATGCTGATGACGGACTGCTTGAGTCTGGGGCTCGTGGAACTACCAAAGAGCAAACTGGCAGCTCCTGCCCTCCAGCAGAGGCTGTCAGCCCTGATGGTATGCACTGTCCAGGCAGTAGCAGCTGCTGGCAATTTAAATGCCTTCAGTAGCACTGACTGAGTTTATTTTTATTTTTTTGGCATGAGGTTTTTCTTCTGGATTGTGGGTGGAGAGGTGGGAAAGTTATTTTCTTTCTTCAAGGAAAACACAAACAATGGAACTTTTTTTTTCCCAAAACTGAAAAGCCAAGAAAAACTGTGCAGGCAGTATGTTTTTGTTTGAGCTTAGAAAAAAACTTAGTTTTGATCTGACCTTTAAGGTATTTTATACTTTAAATTGGAGAAACTTAAAGGTATCTTGAGTACGCTATAACTGAATTATAATGAAATATTTTGGCTGTTTCAAAATTAATGTTCTTGGGGATGGGTTTGGATGGGTTTTGCCTCCATATCAAGCCAAGACAAACTTGCAGAATGTTACCTAATGCATTTCTCTCACAAAATGCCTGAATCGGACTTTATCTTTCTGCGTGTTGATCTGATGATATCTTCTAAACTACATAAAATTCTTCTCTGACAAAAAGAAATAGAAGGGGCCTTTTAATTTAGAGCTGTGGTATTAGAAATAGGAGTTGTCATTCCTCAGAAGGAAAGACAGCACTTGTTTTGCTGAGTGTAATTAGGGAAAAAGCTTGGAATTCGGAACTGTCAATGGTTCTGGTCTCACCAGACCTTCTCTGGTAGCTTCTCTGTGTTGGAATCCATCTGGAAAAAGGACCGAAATCCACAGAGGAGCTGATTATAAGAAATGTTCATGTGCTTTGAGATTAAAGTTAATCTAAGAGTGGCAGATCCCATCTAGCAGAAGAGGAGAGTAGCTCTTATTTTTCTGCTTATATTCATGTTTAGGAAGTGATTAGCTTCCCTGGGACTGCTCCCCAGCTTGCTAGCTCTGTGGATTCGGTGGGGGCGTAGCACTTATCAAATATAATTTCTGTATTATCAGTCAGCAAATGCATATCCTGTGGGTGTCCAGGCCTTATTCTGTAGTTAATGGTATCTGCTGAAAAAAAAAATCCTGCCTGATGAAGAGCTAGCTCAGAGGTCCTCCTCCCAGCCCTCCTCCTCGTGTGCCTGCCCGCCTCCAGCACAGCTACTGGCCTGTGCTGCTCCCCTTTGGGTACCACGTTCTCCTTGCTGGCACCTGCACATACAAGCCTCAGATGGCACATCTGCTTCTATCTCTGAATGCTGGCAGACTCAAGCCCCTTGTCCTTTGTCTCTGATCTGGAGGGACCTCGAGCTGCTGGTATGCACAGGACTCCTCATGCCAAAAATCTCCCTTGCTGTCAGAAATGGTAGTGTTATTCTCCCTTTCCCTCTGGTGTCCGTAAGCAGAATAACATTGCCGTTTTCAGCTATCTGCTTTTTAGCCTCTTGTGCGTGAGATCTTTAGGACACCAGAGGATTTAAGTACCCAGATCTTGGAGTGGTTAATGAGATGAGTGCCAGAGCTCCTGTTTTTGTGGGGTTTGGGTTTTTTTTTTTTAAAGCTCCTGCAGGAGCAGTTCAGGGTTGAATGAAATACTAGTGTTCTAAGAGGCAGGCAGAGTGATCTAGCTTTGATAGCTTACAAGCTGTCTGTGTCCTTATGCCCTAATCACCGTGAGAATATCACTCACTTTTTTCCCCCAGGCAGCTAAAATGAGGGCTTCTGCGCTCTTCCAGTGTAAATCGTAAGTAACCTGAGGTGTAGAAATAACTGCACGTCTCCTTTCTGGCTATGCCAAGTCTCCTCTGAATTGTTCTTTTTTTTTTTCTCCAGCTGACAAATTGGATGCTGATTACATTGAGCGATATCTGGGCCAGCTGACTCCAATGCAAGAGAGTTGCTTGATCCGCCTTCGCCAGTGGCTTCAAGAAACGCACAAAGGCAAGGTGGGTAGGTGAGGCAGAGAGCACCCCTTTGCAAGCCTGAACGCAGTTGTTCTCGTAGCTTGTGTGCCTTCAACCCCACAATAAAACTCAGGGTCACAGACAATTCGTGTGTTGAGACCCAACTGTTTTGGCAAGGTTAGGTAAAAGGCCAGGCACGGAGAATGGTCTGTGAGACCCCACAGCAGGATTCAACAGTATCGCAGGCTGCACCTGCATTGCCCAGTTCAGTCCTGTCAGTATTGAAAAGGCTACTCCGTGGTCCCCAAGCATAGTGCGTTTGCTGTGTACTTAGAGTAGGCATTGACCGGGGCTTGGTGGCCCAGACCGGCCTGTCTGGACGGGTTTTGTTTCCTGAGACCTGCAGGGTGGGGTGGGAGAAATGGTTAGCCGCACTGATGGTGCGTCCCCCATCTCTGGGCAGATGCTGCTCAGCAGAGAGGCAGTCGGTAGCACCAAGCTCTCAGCTGCTGCGCATCAGCAGTGTGCTGTGTGTGTTACGTCAGGCAGGTTGTGTAAGCTTGTACAGCCAAGGGCTGAATTCTTTTGACGAAAATTCATTCTGTTCTTGTTTTAATCTCCTTTATCAAAATGTATTATTTCAAAACCACGCAGGATTCGGGAAGTAGAGACAGTCTCACCTTATGGTGTGAGGTACATTGTGTAAGCCTCCAAAATAGAGGAGCTGAGGGCACTAGATCGGGGCAAGTACAGCTGGAGTTGGCCAGCTAGCATAGATGGAAACACTTTTCCCTGAAAAGCAACACGGGTACTGTGGGCTAGATGTATCTCTGCTCTGCTGTAGCATTCAGCACCTGCTTGGGCTCCTCCTGGTTGAAGGGGAGTCTCTATATTAGGCCAAGAGGGTAGGTGGTATGTGGCTGAGAAAATAGAAGACTCAGGGCAGCTTGAATGCCTCTAGAGGGATCCAACTCCAGATTTCCTGATGGAGAGAGATTGGGTGGGAAGGAAGGAAGGACCAAGGATAGCAACAGAGTAATTGGGTGGGCTGGGTAGATAAAGAGTGCTTAGGAAGAGGGGAGAACAGGAGAAAGATGGTTGGAGCAAGTGATCTCCCTTGAAAACAGAGTACAGCTAGATAAGGCTTCCTGGTTTAGAAACTAACTGCTCAGTCAGTCATACAGAATGAGTTAGGAGGTACTCCCTGCATTCATGGGCTTTGGAGGATTTTTTTTTTCTTTTAACTGGCCTTTCCAAAAGAGGCTGCTGTTTGCAAGGAGCTTTGCCAGTACTTTCTGCATGCCTTGCTGTATCTTTCTCAGAGCTGAGAGCGCGCATGTCTTGTCTGAGTATAAGGAGTTTAAAGATGATTTTTAAACCCCTATTTTTTTCTTGGAAAAACTAATGTGTATCACCCATGTAGAAATAAAATGTAACAAAGATTTAGTGCTATAGTTCTGTTGATACTGAACTCGTGAAGAAGTCCCCTTCTGTGCGAGTGTGCACGTGGGTTTTGTTGGTACCTATGAATGTGGATGGAGAAACAGTTACCAGAAAACTGCAGGCTGAAGAGAAGAACAGTATGTGTCGAGGTAGTGTGTGAAAGTCTCCCAGCAGCTGATAAGCTCCAGAGGCTAACAACACTGTTGAATCTGCAAGAGCTGATAAATTCGGAACACCAACCACCTGCCAAATCTGTCCAAGGCCACTGGGCATACGGTAGCATCAACAGGTTGTATAACTTGGACCGTGTCCAAGAGTGTGGTGGCTGCTAGATGCAGGTAGAGACTACAGGAATATATATACCCCCTATGGAACAAAGGACCCCTTGAAGGACTGTCTGAACACCTACCTGCAAGCTGCTATCATGTCACTATGATGCTCTGCCTCCGAGTAAACAGCTGGGGCTGGCCTCCCAACTAACCAGGTAACTGAGTATGTGTGAGTGAACTGTGTGAATGGTTACCTGCTAATAACAACAGATTAACTAACAAAACTTGCTCTACTAAATATTGCTTGTGATCCCTGTCTCCCCTGATTCAACCTCCTGTCAGATAAAAGGGGCTTGGCAACAAGCAGACACAGAACAAAGGGGGCAGGGATGAATTCCCAGGTATAGTTATGCTCTGAAATACAGGACGTGAAGCTTTTCAGATCTGTCCAGTAAAACAGTGTGTACTTCTGTGTGGTAGGAGATATCTCAGCTATTGGGTATCCAGCTGAAAACGAGCCCTAGATGAGAGTAAGACAGTGAGACTGTATCCACGTGTGATCTGCAAGGGTCTCGGTTTCAGGTGGAAGAAGCACATTCCAAACGTTTGCTTGTTTTGTTCCGTGGGTGGCTGTTTTCCCCCCTCCTAGTCAGAGGCTGGGGAATGGAAGCTGGAGAAGGTAAAAGTGCCAGCACATGAGAAAAAGTGAAACAACTGCCTCTTGGGTGCTTGGATCTCTGTGAGTGTGTGCAAGCCCTCGTGCTTCCTGACAGCTGCTTGCTGTGTCTAGGTACCTTGGCAAGGTAGAGCTGACTGCCGAGCGCTCTTAGTGACAGCTGGGAGCTGCCCTGGACCCTTTGTGTAGGCTTTGTGAGCTCTGTTCCCTACACGGTCTTGAACAAGTAGGAAGGATGGTGCTGGCTGTTGAAACTTCATCCTAAATCCCCTTACTATGCACCTGTTTGCTTCTCTTAATTGCCTGTCAGAATAATACAAAACCAGGAACTTGTCCTACACGACTTGAGTTTTCTCTGGTGAGGCTGTTACCTTGCTGTGACAGTCTGTTCTTCTAATTCGGAGCAGGGATGCCCTTATTCCTCTGTCAAAAAAATATTTGTAGATCTCCTGTTTCTTGGAAACTGTCCCTTCTTATTTTTGTCCTCTTCATCCTATTTCACTATCACAGGAATTTCACTATCCATTCCCTGTTCCTTCCAAACCAGACATTATTCTTTCTAATCAGATGTATCATTGCTTTAAAGAAAACTTCAAATGGTGTTAAAATTGCAGATACTTAAAGCTAGTAATCAATGGCTTTGCACCATGTAGAACAGTACATGTAGTTTCATTAATAAATAGAAAAACAGGCTGAAATTAAAACTTCGTTTTCTTGCATATGGCAGTTACTGCTTTGGTTGGACAAAGATAATGAAGAGACTAATTCCACTCAGAGTGGAGTAAGTCCCCTTAGAGCTCCCCGCCTTTGGTCCAAACAGAAGCACTGAACTTGCCTCTTACCTGTAGCTATGTACAGCATAGCTTTGAAATATTAAAAGTAGCAAAACCTTCTAACAGCCATCCCCTCTCCCACAACTTACAGGAGATCCAGGGGCTGTTGTAGACGTTTGTGGGTTTTGTCTGTTGTCTTGTGAACAACAGCTTCCTCTGAGCAGCAGAAACGCAAATGTACCTCATCTGATGAAAATTCTGCTGTCTTTAATCTTGCTACGACGCAGAAAATTTTGGTGGCATTCTTCTAAATACACCTGAGATCCTGTTTGGGAAGGCTGCCCTTTCCTTTCTGTGACATACAAATGCAGTATTTGCAAAGTGTCAGAATATGCTGAACAGCATTAATCTCCCATCTCCTCTTCAGGTGCGTCTAGGCTTGGCTTTAGGCTGCCTGAACTCTTTCTTTATGTGGAATCAATTCTTAATATCTCTTGCAGCTTCACACCAGCTTGTGAAACTGAGATTGCTCCCAGCCTGACACTGCTGGCGGCTTTGCTTTCTTCCCTGCTTTCTGTTTTCATGAGCATGTCAGTGAACAAACAAAAGAGCTTTGACTCCTGAACATGTGCTTTTTTTTGTCCTACAGCAGAGCTTAGATTGCTTGACTTGTGCTAAGCACAGTACAGACACTCTGGAGGAGACTATCCCTGCTCGACAGAACTTGAATTTTTAATGGAAGCTTGATGTAGCAAATGAGGTCGAAGGCTTTTGGGGGAGTTGGGGTGAAGGGACTGAGGAATCAACAGCATATGCAGCTGTCATCCAGTTGTTTTGGCAACTGACAGACTTTTAGTCAAATTTGGCACTTCTGTGGAATCTATCAGGGTTGTGGGTGATTCCTGCTGTTTAGTATTACTGGCAATTTTTCTTTGATTTTCAGCTAAAGGGAACATAGGAGATTTGGAAGGAGATTGGAATAAGCCATTCTACAGACTTGGTTTGAGAAGATTTTTGTGCCTGTGGTGCTAGAATTACTGATAGAAAGTGTTGGGATGAGTGAGAGAGAGAGGGTATATTATAGTTTTGGTTGATCTGTTTTGTCAAGAGCTAGTATGATGTGGTGGGGCAGGGAAGCCTGTGGAAGAACTCAAAAGCTTTCCTGTTCAAACACCACCAGGGGAGCGTGGTCAACAGCAACGCAGAAGGGCCTGCGCACGAGCTGAAGTTGGTGCTAGTGGGTAATCATTCAAAGACTGTACAGTCGTGATCCCCCTCCAAATAGCGAGTGCTTAACTTGGTTCATGTGTTACCTATGGATGCTTTCCATCCTTTGCTGATTTGCCCTACGGGGAGGTAAGCTTGCAGCTGTATTACTTTCATTCAGTATTTTGTTTGTCCTTGTGGATAGCTAGCTGAGGGAAACTTTAGCCAGCCCAGAGTTTGCTGGGGCTTCTGGCAATTGCATCAGTGAAAGGCTTCTCACAGGCTGTGCCTGTGCACGTGCAATACTCGGATAAATATCAAGCCCATATCTCTCAGAGGCATGAATTGGTCACTTCTTTTGTGCTCCTAGCACCATCTGCTGCATTCAGCTGGATTAGTTAGGGAGGGAGGGAGAAGGAATGTAGGTTTAATATTTGTTATCTTAGTTCTAAGAGATTAAGAACTGGTGCATGCTCTGCAGGCTTTATGGAGCAGTGGTACCGGTAACATACCAGTCCTGATCCTCAGACTTTCTCTTCTCTCAGATCCCCAAAGACGAACATATCCTTCGATTTCTGCGGGCTCGTGACTTCAACATCGACAAAGCTCGAGAAATGCTCTGTCAGTCACTGTCTTGGCGAAAGCAGTACCAGGTGGATTACATCCTACAGTCATGGAGGCCCCCAGCCCTCTTAGACGAATACTACACTGGAGGATGGCATTATCAAGACAAAGGTTAGAAGCTGCCCCTTACATTGATGCTACAGCACGGTTTGCATTATAGGACCTCAAAAGTAACCTGGGTTTTTTGGAGAAAGTTGTATTGACACTTTAAAAATTAACAAAGCAGTTCAGCACCTGTAAACAGCCACTCTGTTTTGCTGTAGTTTTGTTATTTTCTCTGCACAGGTCAGGCAGAGTAGAGCTAGTGCAAAGCAGCATCTGTTTGATAAGGTTGCCTTTGGGTATGATTTTTATCCTTTTCAAATACTTAATGTGGCTTTTATAAAAGGTACTAGCGATAGCCTGGGAGACTAGAGTACTTCCCTCTTTAAACCCTTATGTTTGTTTTGCAGATGGACGACCACTCTACATCCTTCGTCTTGGCCAGATGGACACAAAAGGTTTGGTGAAAGCTCTGGGAGAGGAATCACTGCTGCGACATGTAAGTTGTACTTTCATTTCTCACCTGAGGAACTCTATTTCCCTTGGGGTGTTTAGAAGTCTTGTTATAGTGCAGCAGGAATCTATCTGCCTGACATAAATAATTCCGGTGTTTCATGGCTGGCAACTCAAAGTTGGCTTAGTGACTTTGGCACGGCACAGCTTCTCTGTCTTCCTGCAGAGACAGAAGTGAAGCTTTTGCAGTGGTATGAATTGGCCAGAAAGATGTCTTCTGATAATGTGCAGTCTAGCTGTAAGCTTTCCATGGCCTTTTCATGCAGCTCAGCTAGTAACATTTGATCATGAGATTCTTATATTTCATCTTAGATTTTCAGTATCTGTACCTTGTAATGTCAGCACAACTTTTCAGTAGAGAAGCCTTTTTTTTTTTTTCTTCCATATAGACTCTTATTCTCTGTTTTGCACACTGCAAGTTCTCAAACCGATATATTTCTGGGTTCTGTATTTTTTGAAATAAGATCTCTGGGCTATCCTGGTTTCTCAGTCATACTCAGGCTAATCCTAGTCTGTACTGTCTTTGATTTCAGGTTCTGTCAATTAACGAGGAAGGACAAAAGAGATGTGAGGAAAATACCAACATCTTTGGCCGCCCCATCACGTTAGTATAGTTAGTTTTCTTGTATCCTTACAGAGTCTGAACTGACATGGTGAGAATGCTTCTGTGAAGGTTTTAGATGATGTCCTTAGGGTTAAACTGCAGACAGCAGTGTGTCTCTGTTACGGGCTGTTCCTGGGCTTGGGGTACCGTATATAGTGGACTTACATGCAGATAAATTCTGCAGCTTCACATGAAAGCAAGTATTGGTCCTTCCTTACATCATTTTATGTCCCATTTCAGATGAATTTAATCTTCCTATCTTGGTGATTTTAATCCAGATCCTTGAAATTCTCTTTTTTTTTTTTATACAGGAAACTGTCTGCCAGATTCCACTTTCATTTAAAATGCATTTTTTTAATTATTTTTAGCAATAGGCCTGCATACCTTCACCCTCTTCCACACTGACAGCATATGTTCTTGCCTTCAGGGTTGGGTGTCTGTTTTACCTGAAAGCTCAACTGGATTCAGGCTGTCTGCTGCCTGAGTGGAGATCTACTTTTTATTGGAACTGCTGGTCTCCCTTTTTGGCTTCACTAGATGCTGTACAGGCTGTGGTGTTACTGAAATATTTGGTGGATCGTAAACTGAGCAGCCACCTTGCAATGAAGTTCTGACAGGTCTTTTTCTGCATGTTTATTTTAGATCCTGGACATGTCTGGTGGACTTGGAAGGGCTAAATATGCGGCATCTCTGGCGGCCTGGAGTTAAGGCCCTGCTTCGGATAATTGAGGTTGTAGAGGACAACTACCCTGAAACTCTGGGGAGACTATTGATAGTGCGAGCGCCCAGGGTTTTTCCTGTGCTCTGGACTCTGGTGGGTGAAATCTGGACTGCAGGATCATAAGCACTCGTGCATGTACAAATAGCTAAATCATCCGGTCAGTGTAAGTTCTGCTTATTCGAAGAGTTAGGGAGGGAAAAACTTCCAGGTAACTTGTGGCTGAACTCCTGAAGAGGCCACAGCATTGCTACAGAGCAAGCCATAGCATGCCTGTAGCTCATTTGATTCTAGTGGCTGTCGTCCACCAGGGCAGGACAGGATGTCAGACCTAAACTGCAAATCCTCATGCAGCAGTGGTAGCCCAAACTTGGTGGGTTTTCATATTGATGGGAAAAGACAAATATTTTTTTTTTAATCTCATGCTGGAGGACACTGAAGAGAAGAGTAATAAATATGGTTCTGCCTGGTGCCTGCTGACTGTTCTGGCAATGTAAGAACATGCTTGTTAAATTTCTTGTGAGGTTTGTATGTGGTGCAAACTTATATACGACTGCAAACTTATTTTACATGAAGTACAAAATGTGGTGAGCCGACGATATAGTACACTTTCCATTTGTTGCCCCTTTCTTTGGGGAAGTGCTTCAGGGTTGCGAAGCTCCGCACTACTGCTGGTCTGCATTCCTGCTGATGAGGCCTTCCTGTCTGGCGCCTAGAGCATCCATGTAAGATGGTATAAACATTGTCTCTAAGTTCACTCAGTGACAGTGATGTCTTCTGTCCACTTTTTATTTCAGGTCAGTCCCTTCATCAATGAGAACACAAGGCAGAAGTTCCTCATTTACAGTGGGAATAACTACCAGGGTCCAGGAGGGCTGGTAGACTACGTGAACAAAGACGTGATCCCAGACTTCCTGGGAGGAGACTGCATGGTGAGTTTTCCTTCCTGTTGTGCAGGTGGAATCTGCAGTGTGCCAGCTCCCTCAGTTCCCTCCTCCTCAACACCCTGGCCTCCCACTGCCTTCTGAAAGATGGTTAAACCTCTGTTCTGGCTGGGATACCACTGCTCTGAGCACGGCGCAGTTAATTTGTGCACAGGAGACTTCACCCTGAAGTGGTGATGCTGCCCTGGAGAAGGGGGTTAGAGGTCAGCTCTCTAAACGCAGCTTAGATAAATCGTCGTAGTTCAAGTAAACTCAGTCCCACTGTGAAATCTTATGCCAGCTGAGGGTGTCGTCCTCTGTCTGACAGCAGGCAAGTGTTCATGGTACTGATGACTTCATACTTTACCACTAGATGAGTATGAACCCTCATATTTGTTTGTCTGACTCTTCCAGTGTACTGTCCCAGAAGGTGGACTTGTTCCCAAGTCACTTTATCAAACAGAAGAAGAGCCAGAGAACTCAGATCACATCCGATTATGGACAGAAACTATCTATCATTCTGCGAGTGTCCTCAGAGGAGCTCCGCATGAGGTACAAACCAGAACTTCATAAGGCTGAAGGAGGTGCTGAACTGGTATCACTGATGTGTTCCTTTTGTTAAGGCTGACTAGAACAACAAAGGGCTCCCAAAGTGTGAGCACAAGATGGTTCAGCAGCAGCACCGTGCCTTTCTTGGGAAGGCTAACGCTAGCTAGAAGTGTGGAAATAAAGAACTGCAATTTGAGACATAAATTTGTCTCATCTCTACTACGGGCTGATCTTCTGGACCTCCTTCTTGGGGAAATAAATCTCCCTCAGTTTCCCTCCTGATAGTACAGCTTCCATTTTCAGTGGCATAGCTAGGACAGTAATGGTGGTGATATAAGAAGGTATGTACTGGGTACATCCTGACGGGGCTCATCAGAAAAGAGAATGTCCGAAAAAGGAGCACTTGAATGTCAAAACAGTCTACCAGCTTCGCTGGTGATGAGTAACTCTCTGGTTTGGCCTGCTTAGACTCCTGAAAAAGCAGCAGTGCCTTCTGGAGTTCACAGCCACTCGGCAGGTGCTCTTTGCTGTGTCCTGCATGCTTTGCTTCAGTTCCGCTGAGGTTTTCCTAGAACTAGCAAATGATTTACAAGCAACTCTGATACAGGGGAGAGATGGGGTAAAAATGCCTGAGCAGATCTATTGAGGCAGAGGAGTGGCAGTGGAAATCAGCCTATATCCTCCTTAGGAATCAAGACCAATAGCATAATTGAAGGATTATAGAGAAAAGCGTGTTTGCAGAGTGGGGAGGAAGATGCTGGCTGCCATCTTGAAGACCTGACTCTTTACAATGTGCTCCTTCTGTTCCCTTCTTAGATAGTTGTGGAGATTTTGGAAGGGGAATCTGTCATCACCTGGGACTTTGACATCCTGAAGGGAGATGTGGTGTTCAGCCTCTTTCACTCCAAACGAGCTCCTGAAACAAGTCATAAAGAAGCCACGTTACCAAGTACCTCTGCTGCTGGGGACAATATGCAGCTAATTGATAAGACGTGGGTCCTTGGGGTGGATTACAGCCGTATGGAATCTCCACTGGTTTGCCGGGAAGGAGAGAGCATCCAGGTCAGATGTGTTTGAGTCCTGGCATGGATCTTACAGTCCTAGCAAACTCCAAAATGGTCTGGTGGTGGGGAGGAGAAGGAATTGATGGCATAGGAAATCATGTATTGCTTGGGAATAGTTGCTGCGGTCATCATTCTCTGGATTCCCTGTGAAAGTGGCTGCTATTGCAGTCCTAATTTAGACTGAGCCATTGGAAAGAGATTCCATAATCCATGTTGATAAGCTAATTGAAAATAACCATTTTTTTTTTTTTTAAGTAGCACTGCAGGGGCGTGTGACTCGGGCATGTAAAATAAGTGAATGATGTGTGCTCCCCAAAGTGGTCAGCTCAATAGTTTCTTTTGACTTTGCCAAGTCATTCATCTATTTCTTAAGACGCCTGGTAGTCACTTGATGGCACTCCCTTTCTCTTCCAGGGATCTCATGTGACTCGCTGGCCTGGCTTTTACATTCTCCAGTGGAAAATGCACGGCCCTCTGCCCTGTTCTGGCACTAGCCTCCCTCGGGTGGATGATGTTCTTGCCTCTCTGCAAGTTTCCAGTCACAAATGCAAGCTTATATACTACTATGAGGTGCTTGCATCCAAGGACTTCAGGTAGGAGATTTACTGGGGGGATTTACTATACGGTTTGCAACAGAAGCCAAATAAGAGGGACTGAGTGCGAGTTAAACATCCAGGTACCAATGACCTCCACAGGGTGTGCGCTTCATTGATGAGACGTTAGACAGACACAAACTTGGTGGCATTTTGCGCAAAGAATCTCCTTTAGTGCTGTAGGTAATAAGGAACCCCTTGGCTGTATGTCCACCCGTGGAATTTGTGCTTCGGTTCTTGCTTTACAGCTGCCTGAAGAGGGGGAGGTTTTTGACAGAGCAGTTTTTTGATCGTAGTTGGGAACATCTTGAGAAGTTACTTTTGGAGTAACTTAACGAATATCAGTTGGGCTATTTCATACGTGTTTCGTTTGGTACTTGAGAAGGATGTCGGTTGTGAGTTGGAGAGTGCTTTCTGAATAGGTGAATACATCAGCTTCAGCAGGATTTGTCTAGCCTCCTTTAATGCAAAAAGTACTTTTCAAATCACCCAGTAATTTGAATGCTTTGCAAGTACGTGACCTTTCAGTAGGAGTTGGAGGAAGTGTTAGGTAGACCAGACTGGCAGGTGGGCGGGTGACAACCTTGAGAATGTGACCTGGCCAGATCCTGCGGAGTCAGAGCAGCAGCAAATTCCTCACTCCCATCATCCAAACCTGTTCCTTGTTGCTCCTCCTGCATAAAATGTGTCAGGAGCAGTAGGCAGTCACAGCTAGGGTGAACCCAGTCTGCTTTGGCAGAAGGAGCTGAAGGCCATGGCTGGACATAGCTGAAGCTGGGACACTCGTGCTTAGCAGGCTGGAGCTCTCGGGTTAGCAGTGGCAGCTGCATTCACTGAGCTGTGCTGCATTTGGAGTGCTCTTTAGTTTTCCGTTCTGCTCGGGGGCTGTGAATGCAGCCCTGCAGAGGCTCCAGCTGTGTCCCGCTCCCAGAATAACTGCAAGAGACAAGGTATAATATCTGTAGCTAAGAAAAAAGATGTCTATGACAATTTAATTTTTCATCGTGACACAAAGGAACGCAGAGATTCTTAGAGACAAACTTGAAAATGATGGGACAAAAAATAAAATACTTTTGCAAGCGTTACAGAGTATAAGTTGATCTCCTGTATAGAATTATCCATTAATAGCTGCCTTCCTAACAGATCCATCTGTTTTGTCCCTTCCCAGGGGATCCATGTCGAGCCTGGAATCCTGCAACAGCGGCTTTTCCCAGCTGAGTGGAGCCACGACATCTTCCAGCCAGTCCCAGAGCAGCTCCTATCTTTCTAGATAGCAGAGCCAAGGCTACAGCGGCAAGGAAAAATCGCTCAGGGCTTCCTGGCTGCCCCAGGGCTGCTCTGTGCACCAAACCAAAGAGCCTACGGGGGCTGAGCCTTGAGGCAGTCGTTCGTGTGACCACTGGTAGCAGCCATTTGGACACAGAGAGGCTTCTAGGAGCTATTTTAAACACAAAAACTTAGAATTCAAATGGCAGGTTTAGAAATTTTCTATCAGATACCTACTTCTCAGTAGTCTTTTTCACAAATTGTGGTTTTGGATGAATGTCAGTTTGCATGAATCTGTGTATTACTCAACTGTAAAGGGCTCTTTCCAGTCAGTCCTTTTCCTACGCGTGGTAGAGGAGACTGATGTTGCCTTATCTGTTTGATCCGTAGGACTAGATTATTCATGTGTAGCAAAACTAATCTCGTTTTCTGGGCGCCCAGGGTACCAATTACACATCAGAAAGTAAAGCGGGCATTTCAGGTGCAGGGACTTGAAGCAAACTGTAAATACCTTAATAGAGATAGGATGCTTCAGTAATCAGCTCCAGGTCAAACCTAAAACCTCCTCTGATGTGACAGGATGCCGTTAGGAAACATGTTGGATTTTTTTAACCCACTGAGACGAAAAAGTCAAAATGGTTTTCTAGAAAGTACAGGCAGAGAACCTGCCTCCAGTAAGCAGCATCTTTCTTAGAGAGAGACTACTTCTCCTTATTCCTCAGGTTTACAAGCAATAATGAGTAGATCTGACCCATCTCATCAAAGTGGGTGGGAACTGAATCAAATTATAAAGGGCTAAGAAAAGCAATATTTTATTTCCTGTAGGCACAAAATTTTATGGCAGTATTATAGAACTTGCTTCTTTAAAACATGAGCTAACTTGAAGAGAAAACTTAAAAAAAAAAAAAGCATGTATGTATTTAAGCACTTACTGAAACGTATTTATTCAAATACTAGCTTATTTAAAATTAATTTTTAACTTATTTATAATTTCAAAAATGACTATTTATTAAATCCAGTCACCTTTTTCAATGGGACGAACTTTGTTTTAGAAAGGAGTAACTGATCCCAAGAAATCTTTCTACTTCGGTTCTAATCTTTTGTGATCACTGGATGTTCTTGCATAAAGGGCTGTATCGTACATAGCGCTTGGGGTAAGGGCTGTGTGTCATCTTTTCCTGCAAGGTAAGGTTGGAGTCCAGTGCTTTTTGGACTCCAGAGGGATGCTTCTTAGGATTAAGAAGCAAGGACTGAGTTCAGGAGTTGTAAGAAGATAGCGCATCTTTGTGACACACCAGAAATACCGAGTTTGTCCATAATCACTGATTATTCCAGAGAGTAGGTGTGTACCAAAGGTGCTAGTGGTCCGTTGGTCGGGTTGGGTAGCAAAGTTATACGCGTTCTTGTCCCGGTGGCAACAAAGCGAGAATAGAGGTCAAACGCTCAGTTGCCCTTAGGCAGTATTTGCAGCTAGCAGACATGCAGGACTTGTGATGTGGACGGATGTCTGCTTTCGGATCCAGCTGTGCTGCGTGAAGGCTCCCCCCCACCAGCTGGAGGTTACCTCTGCACGGATCTGCTGCCTACGGAAGGATCGTGAGGGTACTGCCCCCGCCATTGTTGAGGTTATCCCAGCCGAGTGGCTCATGTCGCGTAATATGGCGAGCGTGGTCTAAAACGAACGAGTTTCCAGTTCCCCGGCTGGGGAGCAGCACAAACAGCTCTGGGCTTGGGGCGGGGGGCAAGCGCAGGTGGTGGTGGAAGCGTGGTTTCTTCCTCCAGCACAGCAGTTCGTGTATCCATGGCCATCTTTCCCAGTAAAGACTTGGGGTGTCTTTCCCTCTCACCAAGTTCTCGTTAAGGTTGATGGAATCTGTGCAGCTAAGAGCAACATGCAGGTAAACTAGTTCCTTCTAACCCTGCGTTTTTAATTACTGGTTTTGAAGCACCACAAAGGAAAAGAGAGACCCAATACTTGGAACAATGGGAGGTGAAGAACTTGATGTGTTTATGTAAGTTGCTTGGGTTGGTTTGTTTTTTTTTTTTTAAAGGATTGGAGTCAAGGAAATTGCTCTCCCACCTTGCGCATCTCGCTGGGAGAGCAGAACAGGTAACTTAGTCATGCAGGCCTCCGGGAAAGTTCTGATTTCAGAGAGTTCCCCAGTTGTTCTCTGGACTTTACCATTTCTCCCAGATGAATGAAACTTCTGTCTCTGGCATTTCAGCATAATTGGAGTCTGATAGAGAGGGAGAAAGTACTACCTTTTGCTCCGGAAATTCAAGAGTTCCGGAATTAAAAGTGCACATGTGTATCCCTAATGTAAAATCCTTTTCTCATAGTTAATTCTGATGCTAGAAACCGAGTTTCAACCTGACTCCCAAAGCATCAAAAGCAAACCCGGCCTCGTCCTCCCCGTGCTCTTTCAGGATTTCAGCTTCTTGTGGCTTGATTTTTAAGTGGTTGATCACGTCCCATGGCGGTAACGTTCCTGTTTCCTGTGTTTCCCTTGGTTTGCTCTTGTTAAGAATCTCTTCCATTGCACTGCATTTTATTTTTTTTTTATTTATTTTAAAATGTGGCATGTGCTCTTCTCCTCCTACCGGTACAAGTTTTGGGCGTTTAACTCTTGTCAGTGAGGCACCTGGAACTCGGCACCCTCTGGCAGCTCTGTGAACGAGCCAGGAAGAAGGGAAGGGCTGGTCCTACGGAGCGCTCCCTCCTCCTGGCGCCGGGATGTCACAGCCCTAGTTCTCCCTCTTGTTCCTTGGTGGGTACCGCTCTTCTGCCCCACAAGCGACTGCTGCACACGTCTGTTTGGGAAGCAGCTTGCGATCTCTCCCTTATCAATTTTAAGCAAAATTGCCTGGGTTATTCCACCTACCAATTTACTTAGCTACCAGTTTAAATAATCCAGTATGGATTTTTTCCCTTTTTTCCCTGAATGTTAAGATAACGGGAGAAAGGGGGCAACAGCCTGGATGTTGTGGCTGATGCTGTGCTGTGCTTTTTAAACCTGACTTTGCTTCTCTTGTACCTGCAGTTCACAGAATCCTTCTAAAACACCTTCTTTCCCCTTAAAATGACATCAGTGTGCTTTAGAAAATAAAACACGCCGTTTACTTCACAGCAACCTCTTGTGAGTCGAGACCGGGAGGAGTTTTGGGTTCTGGCTCCCCGGGAGCCACTCATCTCTCATAGATCTTGTAAGCCAGAACCTTGAAAAATGGACTCCGGTTTTGGGTGCTGAGCTAGAGATGCAGCAAGGCCCTCCCTGCTCCCCAGCAGTATCCCGGCAGCTGCTCTTCAGTGAAGTCAGGGAGCTCGGGCTGTGTTCAGGTAACTAGCTGGGTACTTAAAAAATAGCTCCTCAGTAAATCGGGGCTTTCCCCTGTTTCAAATATTGCATATGCAAAACACAATACCTACCTCAAAGAGCTGTTGCCATGTTTGATGTGTGATACGAGATCTCAAGAGAAAGGACGCTGTGCCGTAGGTACAAAGTGCTGTGCCATTGTTTACAATTAAATATGGCCATATGCGAGACCTTTATTCTTAGCCATTTCTACGGATTTGCCCCATCCCGCCATTTACTGGCTTCTGTCCCAGTAGGACTGGGAGCGGCAAACACGGAGCACGGCACCAGTGGGCGCACACGGAAGGTGGATGTCAGACTGGACTCGGGGCAAAGCTGGAATGCAGTAACTGAGTCACTTCGGCTAAACGTTTTACTGTCTTTCAAGTTTGAAACGGGCTTTTTTAACTGCTGTGGACAGAACAGCCGAGCCTCGCGGAGGGACCGAGGGGGACTCTAGCCCGGGAAGGTGCAAAAGCAGCAGTGCGGGCTGCTTAACCCTTGGCACGTGGAAGTGGTAAAGCTGTAAACCGGCACCCTAATGCGCTCTTACACCGTCAGCAGGGAGGCACCGAGGGCACGTCCCGGTGGTTTCTTGGCTTCCTGTACTTGCTGTTGGGGGAAGAGCAGTCCCGATTGCCGTGTCGGGAGGGAATTCGGAGTGACCGCAGTCGCTTTGGCTGTGCGGATGTGTGTGCAGAGTTTCAGACGCAGCCTTGTTCACTTCAGGCTTACGGCTGGCCTGTTTGGTTGTATCAATTCCCTTTCAGTAATGGGGGAAAAAAAAACAACTTTTAATAAGAATTTATAATCCCAATTTGGTTTATTCATCAAAAGATTTTTGAAAATGCCATAATCCAGTCATCTTCAGTCTGTAACACTTACTGCAGCTCAGAATTCCTGGTAGGAAGTGGTGAGCCCAACTGTCCACTCAACTCGGGTGCGAAGCTGCTGTGTATTGACGCAGTAGCCAAGGCCGGCCATAGCAGAGTCAGAGGAATCCCGTACTTCGAAATGCGTTTTACTAGCTCACACTTTAACATCTGAAACGTTTATGCTGTGAGCCACGGAATGCAAGAAACAGAGCTGTTAGACTCCTTAATTAAGGACTAAAACTGACAAGCATTTGTCAAAGATTCCTGCACGCTATTAGTTTTAATATCCTACCAACATGTTTGTGATGATGGTTTATCTCTTGGAAGGCTGAATTGGAATCACATGACATGCGTTGGCTTTTAATGACATCAACATCCACTTCCAAGCTATTAGTTACGTACGTAAGTTAAATGGGCATTAATTTTTTTTAGCAAGCACTTCCTTTCTCTCCCTTGCAGCTGTCTTCATTTTTATATATATCGAAGTTCTGGTTTTTCTCAGCCAAAAAACCCCAAACATTCTCTGAGAGCACACCAGCAAAATGCAGAGTGCTTCGTAACGTGTTACTTGACAACAACTGTGCTTAGTTACAGTATTTGCAGGTTCTGGTAGGAGCCGTACACTTCTGTATGTTGGAAATAAAAAAGCATCTTTAAAGAGCGTCCGATTGTTTGATGCAACTGTTCAAATTGTGGTAAACTCTGAAAATTTAAGCATGTGTGCTGCTCTCTTTACCTGCAGGAACGGAGGTAAGTCTTGCTTTATTCAGTTGTCCCTACTTTTTAACTAAAACGTCCTTTAATTTTTTCCTGTAGAACCAGCATTTTTTGTTTATTTTCATACCACAGGGCAGGCTGGTACACATCATCCTGCAGTGTAGTTGGCTATTTAAAATAAAAAGGGCCCACTGGGTTCGAATGGCCGACTGAGGTTAACTGGGAAAGGATCGCGTCTTCCTTCCGCAACTGAGTATTAAGAATGTGACCTTCAGGCAGTTACTACTAACGGACTTTATTCAAGTTTCAAATAGTCTCTGTAAATAATAGAAAAATAGAATCTTCTGTTTACAGGCTGATTTGACGCCAACAGCGGCACAGAAATTACATCTCCTTTTGTCCTGGTTTCGGCTGGGATGGAGTTAATTTCCTTCCTAGTAGCTGGTACAGTGCTGTGTTTTGGATTTGGGATGAGAACAATGTTGATAACACACCGATGTTTGAGTCGTTGCTGAGCAGTGCTTACACTAGTCAAGGGCTTTTCAGCTTCCCATGCTCTACCGACTGAGAAGGC